GTGTAAATGAGGGGCTGGGGTGGGTGGGATCCATCCCCTGCGGTGTCTCGGTTTCCCGGCTGCCAAAAAAACTCCGGAGCGCCAGGGACAGGAACTGAATCCCGACGGAAGCTCGTTTAATTATCATAATATTGCAGAGCGGGAAGGGACCCTCGAGATCATCCAGCCCAGCCCCTGTTGTGGAGGCCCCGTGAGGGATTCAAACTCCCAGCCTTGGGCTCCACAGCCAGAGGCCTAAAACATTGAGCTCTCTAGCCGTTCAGAGGTCATTTGTGACTCATTTTAACCTCTGGAAAAGAGTGAACGACCTTTCAAGAGGGTTGCAACCCTTTCCTGTTCAGGGCCTCTTCTGTTTAATGGATCCCATCCGTTCTGTTCAAGCGAAAGACACTAGTCCTCAATATTCGGGGGGGGGAGGGGAAAAACTTATTGAGCTTTTCTTCCAAACTTTGGGCATCAAGCACAAGGTAAATCCGTGTGTCCCAGAACAAGCTGTTCAGTCCACCATCGTCCGTCTCCAGCAGAAGCTTTTCTTGGCTTGAGCCACGCACCATGCACGCTTGGAAAACATTGCTTCCTTGGACAAATTTCTCAACCCGAAGAGGCAACGTAAACTTCCTGTTCCAGGGGTAGACCGGCCACGCATGGGGTTGTCTGTTTGCGCCTCTTTGCTGTGGGAGAGAAGGAATTGCTCCTTCCCGCACCTCCGTGTCTCGGGGCAAATGGCCAGAGATTCGCTCCAGGAACGAAAACCTAATTTTGTGTTTACAACACTCGGGAGGTGAGTGGGAAGAGTCTAGAGGTAATATATATATATATATATAATTTCCTGGCTCCTCTGCTCAGAAATGCTCCTTGTGTGCCTGTGCTTGGCCACTTTCTCCGCAAGACCGATCCACCCAAAGGTCAAACGCAGACAGTCAAAGAAATAGCCATTTAAACCTGCAACTGAATTTTTGCCATCCAGCATAATGGGTTTTTCCCTATTGAACAGAATTTAAAATGAAATAATGCTGTATCCAAAAATCACATGGGAAGGACATGGACGCTGCATGAAAAATAGAAGAATATATTCTCTATCCCTGGGGACAGGAAGGGAGAGAGTTCCCGCCATTCGCAAGACAGAGCGAAACTTCGCCCTGTTCTCGCTTGATTCGCTACATTTCCGTGTTACCTTTCTGTTTCAAAACACACCCGGCCTTCGGAGCAACTTGACAAACATAATTAAAAGCAGACGAAAAGCAAATTAAAAGCAAATTGAACCACAAGAGTTTGTTTGGGTGGAGTCCCGAGGAGGCGGGATACCTCCTGAGTTGGTTTTGCAATGTTTAATTTTTATTTTTCCCCCACCCCATTTTTGGAAATTTCCCCGCCCTTCCCGAGGCTGAAAGGCCTGAAGGAAGTGCATGCTGCCATCCTTCCCGGCCGCCGCAAAACCTGGAATACAGCGCCTCCTGAACATGAAATATTCACCCACCCACCCCAATTCTGCCCAAGTTCGCCATTCAAGCGAACAATTTAAAAAAACAACACACAAGCTGTTTCGCACAGCAGTGAAAAAAACACAAAACAAATTCAGTGAATGCAAATGTTAGTAATGCTAATGGTAGAGCCGGCCCGGGTTCTATTCTCCATTGGCCCAGACTGGTAACTGCTAGCGGGCAGAGATCTTAGTGAAAATCCTATATTTCTGGCTCCGTAGAACAGCATTTTTCTATTCCCAGTATCTGTTGGCTGGACGTAGGAGTTGATGAATATTTGGGTCGTTTCTATTATTATTCAAAAACTCCCTAGTACCATCAATCAAAATGATTTTGTAAAAAATGGACTGGAATTACACAATGGATACAAGTTTCAATCCAAAATCTAAGGGGTTGTTAAATATCGACATAGTTGTTGTTATTGATGATGATGATGATGAGTGCATGAGGGGGCCTTCAGCATTTGCACCTGCAGAAATTCCTTCTATAAGCACTGCAAAAGTGTGGGGGATCCAGTCCAGACCTTCCTCCATCCCACTAGAAAGTGAGGTCTTACCGTCGGATCCCCCCCTATCCGCAGAATCAATATTTGCTGATTTACTTACCTTCCGTATGAAACTGCTACCTAAAGAAAAAACACCCCAGAAAAATGTATTTATACATATTTCCAGGGTGTATCTACCAGAAGTAGTTTCTGGCAAACAGAAGTGTCTAGGTCTCATTGCTTCCGCGTTTGTCAGTATCCGCGGGATGTTTGTGTTGGCTTCGATTTTGTGGTCTTATCACTGACAGTGTTCTATTGCTAAGTTCTGCATTTGGGAGCCATTGCTGTAGCAGAGACAAATGTTTGTGATCCTATTTTTTTTCTTTTCTTTCTTTTTTTTAAATTTCATGTTGCTTGTAAAGAGGGGCCTGGGGAGAAATCAGCCGGCGTGTGAATGAAAAGGAGAGTTAAACTATTGGATGGGATTTGTAGACAATGTACGGGATTTTGCTCTGATCTTTTTCTTGGTGGGATGAAATGGCCGACGTGCAGATCCCATCATCCCTCGCTCCCCTGGACAGCTTGGCCACTGGGGATACTGGGCTACATGATCTTGAGGATATTTCAGGTATTGCTGATCCCACTAACTAGATTTTCTGGGTTCTGTGTTCCTCCCGAATGAGGGCCTGGCATAATCTTTGAGAGGCAGTGCCAAGAGGCATTGAATTTGCTCTCTGCCGGAGTGGGATTTAAAATATAGGTATTATTTCTTTCCCTCCCGGTGGTAAGTAATGGAAATCTTCTCCTTTCAAGGAAATGTAGACGCACAACGGCCTTGGATTTAATGTGGACCTCACTTGGGGCAGATCAGACGGTGGAAAGGGCCAGGAAAGAATATTATTCTTTAATGGGACAGTAAAGGGAAATTTAACTATTCCATTTATAAATGGGGCAAGTTTTGGTGGCCTCCCTCCTGCCTTATATTAAGGAAGCCGCACCGAAGCACTTAACAAGATGTTTTGGGAGATTTTCAAGTGGGTTGGTCTTGCCAAAGCCCCCTGAAGACATAACGTTTGGGGGAAAATAGGAGGGGGGGAAGAGTATTTATTTTTTTCAAAACCAAGAAAAGCAGCAGCTTAAAATCGGCTAGGGAAAATCGGCTTCCTGGCCCCACCAAAAGCTTTTTACGTAGAGGTGTTGATGGAGAATCTGGATTTTAAATTGTTTTGGAGTGCCATGGAGGGGATTAGATTTAGGGTCAGCCCCCCCCCAAAAAAAGTTAAACTGATCTACGCAGGGAGGCTTCTTACGCAAAGAGGTGCAATTTTGCTTGATGCCCAAAAATGTCTCCCTCTCTGTGTATGTATGGAGAACATACTGTACATTGTGTTTTCATGTTCACACCTTGCCTGACAACAGAAGAGTGAGGCAGCTTTTGGGGACATATAACGCAAAACCTCTTGTCTGTCTGTTTTTCTCTCCTCTTTCTGCCCCTCCGCTGACTATGTGTGGGTCTCTCTCTGACTTCATATTTCCATACCAGCCTCCCCGAAGGATCAGTAAATGCTTCGCTCTGTTAAGAAAAGGGCCACACCTCCCCATACCATAAACACACAGAGAGAGAAAGAGCTGTTTTAAGGGAGGCGCATTGTCCCACTTAAGTGTTCCTGCCTTGAGCAAATTGCCCGAAACAAACAAAGAGGTGAGGAAAGTAGTGGAAGGCTGTGATTTCTTCCCCTGTAAATTATCCTGCAGGTAATTTGGGTTGTTTCCTCCCCATGCCCATTTTCCCCCCAGCCTCTAGGATGCTGTGTTGTTGTTATTGTTTTCAAAGCAAAAAAATAAAAAATAAAAAAAAAATAAAAAGAAGAAGCAGCTTTGATCCCAAGCCAGAAAATAAAATAATATAAAAAAAGAAGCTTCCCAAAATCCTGGACGAGAAGCGAGCTGGCGTTTAAAATGCACATTTTTATGGCGCAGGGGAAGTGGGTCTGTGCGTGCCAGGAAAAAAAAAGCGAGCCAAAGCGAGAAAAGGAGAGTGAAAGGAAGAAAGTGTGAGTGAGTGAGTGAGTAAGACAGAAGAAAATGTCAGGGTGTGTTTGAATGGAGCGGAGGAAAGAACCGTCCTGTATTTTAGCCTGTTCTAAAAAAGACCCCTTTCCCATTCCAGTGTAAGGGAATGGAGAGGGTTTTGGGTCCTCTTCTTCTCCCCAACTGGTCGTCCTTCTCCCGAAGTGGCTAGTTACCTGAACTTGCAGAACAAGCTTTTATTCATCCCCGGCCCACCT